CAAAATGTAATTTCAAGTGTGTGAAAAAGTGCAGGTAAATCCTAATACACCTCCTGCAACGGCAAAGAACCTAAAAAAGAAAGCAAATGCAATGTATCAAATGCAGAAACGATTGCAAGATTATCCACTTCATGGTCAACACTCTGCTCATACCAAACAAGCTGATGTAGACAAACCCCGTAATCATTAGTCGTGCTGGGTAAGAAGCTGAAACCGAGGGTGTTATTCTTGCTGCACGGGTCCAATGCATGCTAACTAGAAATTATCAAATACACATACACATTGTTTTTAATACTTCATAAACTCTTTGTGGGTTTTATTAAACTTATTTTGTATTGTAAGAATAATTTATTTTTTTGCAAGTGAATATTGCATTAACAATTTTGGGCGGTGACAATAATTTATCAAGATACGCGCCTTACTATTTAACCTATTAAGAGTAGAAGAAATGGTTTTATACATTTTCTACGCATATGTAAATGAACGAATTCAACTGGGATTCGAACCCGATTCCCAAATGTCTCATTATGAGCTGCTACCCATTAGACCACCCGCACATTCGCTGACTTTCATCATAAAATCGATTGGTTCGTTTACTGCGGTTTGTCAACCATTTGCAGATTATTTAATGCTAGAAAATAGTTTTAGATTATGAGAATTTTTACTTACTAATTAACCCATATTTGAGGGCAGAAGGTGAACTCATACTTTTTCCAAAGTGAATATAACGAACCGAACGGGAATTGAAAGTCGCTCTCCGATTAACAATTTCGAGCCATCAACCGCACATCCAAACTTATAGCAGCTGATATTCCCAATAACAATTAGACCACCCGCACATTCGCTGACTTTCATCATAAAATCGATTGATTCGTTTTCTACTAACAAGAAATTATCAAATACACATACTGAAAAAAGTAGCGTCTTTTTCCCCCTCTTTCCACGGGATCAAAATGGAATAGTCTATTATTTATGAGGGATTGACAGGAGACGTTAACCACGTCTATCTTTCTTTCTTTCTTTTTCTTTCTTTCTAGCCAAATCGCCATCTTAGAAACGTTTCTCTTAATAATTATTATAAAACAGTTTTAATTTAAAAAAAAAAAAAAGACAACATTTATTAAAATCTGCAAAGGACAAGGAATTGTGGAGAGCCATGATCGGCTACGCCCTGAACGAACATGGCGCACAGAAGACGAATTAATTAAACTACGGCTTTATTTTATTTATTTACTCTCTATATAATTTTCATTTTGTTAATCTTTTGCGAAACATTGCACAGAAAACCGATGTTTCTTATCTTCCCAGGAAAGTCCTCAAATGCTTCTTTTTTTTTTTATTAGCGACATTTACAAACTATGAACTATCGCTATACACTGGAAATACAAGATGCACTTAAGTTGCAAGTGCGCTACGCTCTGATTGAGAAAATATTAAAATTCTCTCAAATTTATACTGATGTTTGCGTCTCACGTTACTACCATGTTCACTGTAAAAATATCTTGTTTCCATTCAACCATGAGAATGCAACAGTAGTATATGCGTATGTGTACATAACCCCAATACACAAAAGATTAACAAAGAACCCATAATATAAATCTAATAATCTTTATTATAAATACTAAACTTAGTAACTGAAGAAGGCATACAAACATATATATGCAAATAAAATGAAATAAAATTATATATAAATAAAAAATATTGCTAAAAATTAAACAAAAAAATAAAATAAAAGTATATAAATAAATAAAACAAACTCAAGGTCAAAATTAGAAAAACTCTGAAACATTATTCCTAAACAAACAACTTGGGAAAATCGGCTTTCCTCTTCATCCTATAAGCGACCTATATACAGAGCCCACACAAAGAAGGGTAAAACATACTCTCGCTCTCTCTGTCTATATATATATATATATATATATATATATATGTAGGGAAGAGGTTGTTAAAATAAAAAATCCACATTTCAACCAAAAACGTTTGCGGTTTATCTTCCTTGTAATATATATATATATATATATATATATATATATATATATATATATATATTATTGAGGCATGTGTTTTTAAAGACTATGGAATTTTTCTGTTTAATAATCTTTTTTTCTGATTTTTCTTGCCTTCTCACAAGTTTTTCTTTTTTTTTTATACATATTTGGGTCTAAGTTTTTGAAAAAAGATCCTGGTCCTTGGTGTTTTGCCGAGCGATTTTGGTTGTCGTCAATATTATCTATAAAATAAAATAACAAACAACCTATTTCAAACCGAACCATACAGCTAAGATATTATGTCTATTTTTATTGAATTGACTTTTGATAACGGGTCCCCTGTCCCAGTGCATGCACTTATCATCGATTATAATACCGTTATTTCGAATGAGAATGAAAGTAATAACGAGATTTGGCTTCTTATGCAAGTGACACCTGCAGTCGCTTCAAAAATATTCAGCCATTTCATGGATTTCAGTTAAGAGTTCCTTCCAAAAGTGTTCGAACCGAAAAACTGGTTGTTGATCTTCCATAAAATATAAAAACACCAAGAGATTCTCAACTCATATTTACAGAAAATAATTTCGCTAATTAAATCTATATTTTCTTTTGAATTCTGAAGAAAAGAAACTGATAAAGTAAATTGTGTAACAAAATTTTGACTTGCTTGGTCTTTGGTCAGTAAGTATTATTTCCTAAAGGATTCTGTCTAGAAAGGAAAGTAAATGACTATTATTTTCTTCGAATTTCGCTTTTGTCTACTGGACATCGATGTTTTGAAACTAACCTATTTTCCATTACATTCCAAACACATTGATCGCTGAGTCGAACGAGGACATGTATCCATCCCTCTTCCTAACTCACTCGTTGCAGCTCAAAGAGGAATACAACAGTGTCAAGATCTTGCTAGATGCCATGAAATATGAAGAATACGGCTGGCAAGTTATAGAAGACTTCAAAATGATGGTCTTCCTGATGCGTCTCCAAGGCGGTTTTCTCAAGTGCCTGTATTAGCTTTTGCCTTTCGGACAGCAAGGACACCACTACCAAAGACGTGACTCTCCACAGCGGACCGAGCTCAGTGTGGAAAGGAACAACGCCAATTGGGAGCCGCTGTTGAAACCACGGAAGGTAATATAACCTCAACTGAACTTAAAATTGGGCTTAAGGAAAAAAATTATCACAGCTCTTGATAAGGAGTCTGCAGCCTTCAAGTATCTTTAAGGCTTCTACGTTTAGCTGTCTTCGGAAAAATTCAAAGTCGGCTTCTTCGTCGGGCCACAAATAAAGATCATAAGGACAGAAAAAGCATCGTGGAACAGCATGTCGCAGTGGTTCTGGGCTTCCTGGGGAATCACAAGGCCGGAAACTCTGTGGAGCGTGTTGAGACTCTCGTGAAAATTGGCTGCAGGATGTCATTCAAAACCCAGATAGTTGATGCTCTTCTTGATATATATATATATATATATATATATATATATATATATATATTTAATAAAGAACCAATTTATACAAAGAATTAATTAGCAATCTTAATGTGATTAATGGCGAAATCTCTTCGCTAATGAGACGTTAACTTATCAATTCCTTGAATAATACGATCCTTATATTTGAGTTGTTGTCAGATGGAATTGACGGAAAAGTACTTTCGACAATTTCAAACTATCATCTTCGAGGCGTAATTTTTCCATGCACATGCAAACACAAAAACGAAATACGTGTAGTGTAGACTGAAAGATTTTTTTTTTAATTATGCTATTCATATATTTAACTGTCAATAAATAACATACAAGAACGTCTAAGAATGGGAGCGTTTTTTTACTAAGTTCGTGGGCAAAGTTAAGGACAGAGTCTTTTCTTCAAATGTTAATTTGTGATTAAATATTTCTTGTGTATTTTTCGCTAAAATAAGTAAAGCCGAAAAGCGCTTGAAAATGCAAAACATTTGAACAGTTTTTTATACACTTTGCGTTCAGAAAAGAAAACATTCTTACGAACAAATTAAATAAAAGAAAAATTGAATAAAAAGCTTAATATCAGTCATATTTAACGAAACATGTATAAAAGAGGGATTGCTGCTTAAATACATATTTTATATATATATATATATATATATATATATATATATATATATATATATACACGCACACATGTGCGGGGGTAATCGTCTCGTTATCGAGCAAGACTGTTTTTCCTTATTTATTATTTTGTGTCTAGAAATGTTGCCAGGTATACAATGAATAATTGTTTGGCTGACACGGACTGGCATGTCTACGAAGATGACGTTTTAAGTTCTGATAGATCTAACATATAAGGTGACATATGGAACAGGTAAAATTACGTTCCCAATTGTCGTTACGGGTAACAATTGCTAGCTGGCACTGGCAGGCTGACAGATTTTCCTGTGACGTTTAAGAGCACTTACGCTTTTGAAATTCTTACCACATTCCGGGCATGGATAATTATTTGCAACAGAAGGGCTGCTTGTTGTCATGTGATCGCATTAATCCAGATATTTGCAAAACAATTGCAATTATAAATATTACATGAGAATAAATCATTGTTATTTTCTGTGACAATTAAGACCAGATCACCGACTTTCCACGTTGTTTCATTTTTTTTTATTTTTAATATGGATTCTTCTCCATTTCATATTCACTTTTCATCTTACTGATTTTACCTATTCACAATGTTGAAAAGAAAATGTATCTCGCAATATTTGGTCTGTGGTATTAGAGGTAAAATCCATTTCAAATCCATTACATTCACTTACATGCTAATACCATTGAGAAAGGTTTGAATCCTCTACTTCTCCACCCATAACTAGACCGGGTTGCCTTGGATGTCAACTGGTCTACCGCAGAAAGAAATGGCAACCTACTGCGGGAAAAATCGGCTTCGTCAGTCATGTATCGAAAGATACATGATCGCCGAAGCATGTATCACGCATGGCACGTAACTGGTTATTCTCTGAGTCTTCTCTGAGATTTATGCCACCAAAATATATTTTTGATGTATATCTCATCTCTCTCATTCCCTCTCTTTCCCTCTCTCTCAGTTTCTCTCTTTCCATTTACTTCCCTCCTTCCCTCACCTTCTTCCATCTCCGTCTGTCTTTCTCTCCGTTTCTGTCTCTTCCTTTCCTTCTCTCTTTCTCTTTCATTCTACCTCCCTCTTTCTCTCTCTCTCTCTTTCTCTCCGTTTCTCTTTCCCCCTTTCTTTCTCTGTTCCTCTCCCCTTCTCCTTCTCCGTCTCTCTCTCTCTCTCTCTCCTCATCGCTCATTCCATTGCTCTCTTTCTCCACCTCTTCCTATCTATCCGTTTCTCTCTTTCATTTTCCCTCTCTTCTTCCCTCCTCTCCTCACCTCTCCACTCTCATTCTCTCTCTTTCTCTTTCTTTCCTCCCTTCTTCTCCACACTCGCTCTTTCCTTCTCTCTCATTCCATTGCTCTCTCTCTCTCTCTCACACACACACACACACACACACACACACACAGACAGACACACTCACACACACAAACTTACTCACTCACTCACTCACTCACTCACTCATTAAATGACTCTCTCTCCCTCTCACGCGCCCGGGCGCCAATCTTAGAGATTACAAACATTCTCTGAACGTCGACATCCGGGTAACCGGGCGTGTGATTAAGAAAGATTAAGGCTTGTATCCTTGGTCTGCTCGTCAGAGTGCAATAATTTCAAAAGAATTATTTTTCTACAACCTCCAAGGCAAATCGCTTCAGTACCAGAAACCTATTTCCCAGCAATTAACAGCTTCATTTGAGACGCATCTTGATCTTTATTGATCTCATTATTGTCCATTAACGCCTATATTATCCCTCCCATAAACATTAATAACAGCTGCACGATACTTGCCTTCACCATTATCATTACCATTAGTTTCTATATAAAAAATAATAACAATAACATTAATAATAATAAATATTATTATTCTAAAGCTTCGCAATTGCCATCGATGCTGATGATCTGTATGTGCCCAGAACCGAAAGAGGCAGAGGATTGGTTCAACTAGAACTGAATTACAAAACCACAACAGTTTTCAAAGATACCTGGAAACTACAGAAGACAGCAATACTAAAATACCTAAATTACAAATAATCTAAGAACATAGCAAAAGCAAATGCAATGTAGCAAATCAAGAAACAATAGCAAGATAAGCCTCTTCATCGTCAATACTCTGCCCGTATCAAACAAATTGATGTCGATAAACCCCCTAATGGTTACGTAGTGTCGGGTTAAAAGCTGAAACTTCAAAGAAAGAAATTCATCAGTGAAAACGGACATTACATGAGGGGTGTTGTTTTTCATACTTGATTTTGTCAAATGCTTATTTGATACGAATACACTGATGTCAATAAAAAATATTGAAGCTAAAATTAATGATGTGAATTATTCAAAAATGCCCGTCCACTCTGCCTCACCCATTACAAGGATCTTGAAATGGAAATCTCAAAATTGTGGCACATGAGGACATGAATAATTCTAGTTGTCGTCAGAGCCCTGTGATTCAGTGGAAAAGGGTCCGATCCTTAAAGAATTTTTTTTTAAGCATTACGCCCCAAGCAAGGCGTGAAGCCACTAAGATGCAGGGGGTTGCGGAAGATTTGGAGCGAGAGCAGATAGGAGTGATAGGAGAAAGGATGGAGAGAAGGATAGTGGGTAGATCAAGGTAACTGGAGATGTCGATTGACATTACATTTGAATAGTTGGAGATTATACTCATCAAGGAAGCAGTAACTGTGGAGGGTGTTCCACTGGCGAGAGGTGCGAGGTATGAAGCTACTAGAGAAGAAGAGACGGCTACATTTGAGAGTTTCTACGGTGTAAGGGTGGGAGCGGGATGCCAGCCTCGTAGGGCGCTTGTATTCATGGAGTCTGGGAACCAGTGAAAACAGCTCGTCAGAGCAGTTACCATTGAAGTATTTGTAGAAAAGACAGAGAGAGGCGACGGCGCGTCTGTGAGAGAGTGACTGCAGAAGAGACGCTAGATCGGGGCCAATTAGATTACATATCCGTGCCCCATCCCATATATGGCAGCAATACTCCATGCAAGGGCGAATGGTTGTTTTGTATATTTGAAGTATCGATTCAGGGGAGAAGAATTTCCTGGCGCGGCACAGAGAGCCAACTTTCCTCGCGGTGGAAGAAGCAATTGACTGAATGTATTTGTTCCATCTCAGGTCAGCAGTCAGCGTGAGACCGAGCAGACGCAGGGAATTGCTCTCAGGAAGTTGACTATCAGACATTATAATGGGGGGCAGGGAAGGATCTCTATGGTGGTTAATGGAGAGTAATTTAGTTTTAGTGGCGTTAAAGTTGACCAGCCAATTCTTGCCCCAGTTAACAACCGATTGGAGGTCCATTTCGAGATACAACAAAATGCACTCAAAAGTACAGCTCACAACTTACGTAGGGCTTTATCTATGTAAAATGTGTGATATTTTTTTTTTTTTTTTTCACAAAATGCTCAGTAGAAAATGTCATGATGACATTTCTGACCTTAGGTCTCTGGTTGGGACCCGAAAAGAAATTAGTATACAGCAGAAATCAAAGTCAATAAAATAAAAACATATAAATAACCAACTTCAACATTCAATAATCTTAACTTAATCCGGGACAAGCCCATAACAGTGGGAAGCTCAAAGTTCGATACATTAATAATGATCAATCTGGCTAATCATCTAATGAAAGTGTCCATTGTTCAATTTTACACAGGGATACAAATGGAAGTCAGCGACTGTGTGTTCGACCCAACTCGGTTGGTAACAATTGTTCTTCGACAATCGCCTGTGATATTAGCCATGCTTCCACTGAAGCCTCCATTTAAGCCATGCTTCCAGTAGAGTTTCTCTCTACGATGCTACACATCACTCGACATCCGCCGCCGTCCAATAACAAAAATCAAAGACAATTATTCACAACTGGTAGACTTTGCTACTGATTTTGTCTTTCTTCTATTTTTACTTACTGCGTGCGATGGATAAATTGTCATCTAAATGACGCCAAAAGGAAATAACACTGACATCTCATTTTAACAGATATAAAATGTGCGATGGATAAATTGTCGTCTAAATTATACAAAAATAAAAAATATCGCTGACGTCCCATTTATAACAGATATGCAGGGTGCGATGGATAAATTGTCGTCTAAATGACGTAAAAAATGAAAATAACACTGACATCTTATTTTAACAGATATACAGGGTGCGATGGATAAATTGTCGTCTAAATTATACAAAAATAAAAAAATATCACTGACATCTCATTTTAATAGATATACAGGGTGCGATGGATAAATTATCGTCTAAATTACGCAAAAATGACGATAACACTGTCATCTCATTTTAACAGATATAATTAGCAAAATTGTTACAAAAAGATCTTGAAATACTAAAGAGTAAATTTATTCAATAAAATCGCCATTGGCTCCAACCACGGCCACCAGACGACTTTGGAATCTCCTGAAACTCTTCTGGACGGTCTTCTTGTTTAAGTTGGTGAATGCTGCCATAATTCTTGCCTTTAGTTCATCTTTGGTGTTACAAGGAGTTTTGTTGGTTCTCGCTCAACTCCGCTCCACACATAATAATCAATAGGGTTGATAGGTGGCCAGATATAAGGGATGATGTGGTTGCGGAATTTGTCTGACATCCATGACTGGGTTCTCCTGCGTGCCTGGCATGGTGCAGAGTCATGTTTCGAGACATAGAGCAGCCCTACCTCTTCAAAGCACTTGATTTAGACCTCTGTGATTGTGACCTTCGTCTGAAAATCTGTGGAGAGATGAATGAAAACATAACGTCATCATCAGTAGTGACTACTCCAAACACCTTCGTAATCATCATTAGATTCATTCAACTCTTTCCAAATCCTTTATACTGTCCTCAGATTAATACCAAAACTCTTTGAAATGTTCGTATTGAAGCTTTTAGCGCGAATGCCAAGCAATACACAATCATTTCTGGCAGAATGAATTGCGTCATGTTGCTCTTTTTCTGACAAACGGTATCCAAAATGATCTCATTATACTGTGCAGTCGACAAAATCAAAACACACAACGCACATGTGCGAAATTAAAAATATAAAATTGCGACAATTTCCCCATCGCAATGTGCTATTTTCTTTTTCTCGAACAAATCTGATACTATAATTTAACGATCAGTAAGCCGGTCCTATCATTTCAACTGCCAATACTGACAAAATCTTTCTACCTATCCGACGCATCTGATTTCGAAACAGCCATTTTGGATTTTGTCACTGTTCCAAAGGTGATGACAGCAACAGAAACAACTTCTACACTGTAAAGCCTTACACAAACTTTCTCTCGCATGTTCATAATCTTGATACCTTTTGTCTTCCCCCACTCATTTTCAACGACCCTTGCATCTCTTGTTACTGCTATATCCATAATACAACACTGTTTGTCTTCCTTCTAGACAATAATGATATCTGACCTTCTTGTTTCAGTTACATTCTCATTATTATTATTATTATTAGTAGTAGTAGTAGTAGTAGTAGTAGTAGTCATTTATAGTTTGTTTAACGTCATATCAACTCCTTATGGGTCATTTAATGCCGAAAATTTATTTTTATTACGGGCGCTTGTAAATTTTTTTTTTTTCAAAAAATATATTGTTGGTAATTTTAATATGTTTTTTTATTATGAAAATGTACTGTTGCTAACTTTCCCTAATGTACTTTATAATTTTATATTTTCATGGTTTCCCCCAGTTTGGGGGTTCACTATTTGCCCATAGCTGGGACCCTAACAGGTGCTACCACCCTGGGCAAAAATGGACCTTGGAATCACAGCAATTAAGAGGTGGTTCCACGCTCCTCAAAATCTCCCAGTTAGGGGCCTTGCTACCGGATGTAGTTTATCGCCATGTTGTAGTATATGGGCGCGTGGCTGAGTGGTTAGAATGTTCGCTTTCTGACAATGAGACCCGGGTTCGAACCTCACCACGGTTGATTTGTCAGGAAGAAATTAAGCCAAGCCTTGTAAGTGAAATTGGGTAGGGGTCATCGATAACTGTGCCAGCACGAAGTCATAGTGCCCGTGGGTTTGTGCTGGCGTTGTTCAGATTGTTGATCTTGCTAGATACCAGGGACCTAAGGTTAGAAATGGGATCATGACACTTTCCACTGACAAAAAAAAAATTACATAGATAAAGCCCTTCGTAAAGTGTGGGCTGTACTTGTAAGAACAATTTTTTTGTATTTCTTTAAGGCAAGGGCTACCAGGAATCTCTTCAATGAGTCTATTGGAATCTTTTCCAATCAATCCGAGGGCTCCAACTACAACTCGAATTGTTAATGTTCTCATGCGCCACATTTTTGAGATTTCGACTTCAAGATTCTTGTATTTTGAACGTGAAGCGCGAATACAAATATAGATAATAATAAATAATAATAAATTAAATAGATATAAATATAATAATACAAATATAAATAAAAGTAAATTACTACAAAAATAAATAAAAATAGATAATATAAATAATAATACAAATATAAATAAAATAAATAATAATAAATAAAAATTAAATAATATAAATAATAATACGAATATAAATAAAAATATAAATAAAAATGGT